ATGTTGGCTTCTTCCACAGTTGCTCTTAACAGCTATTCTCCGCTGCCAATCTATTGTAACTCCTTTAGACATTTTTTTAAAGCTTGTCAGCCAAACACAGATCAAAAATACAGCAACTGGTGCTTGCTATACTTTCAATGAAAATACTGCAGTATGATAATTAGTTATATCAGTGCTTTGAAACACTTAGGTTAAAGTGACAGCTTTGGGACGCAGCACAACAACTTAGTATGCTGATGTCACCTTGAAATTGGAAAAGCATTTTCTAACATGACAAGTCTGAATGACATGGATATTTTCTTCTGAAGCACATGAAAGTTCTTTCTTTTTACTCAAAGCCCTATAAAAATAATGCTGACCAAAAAAAAAAAAAAAAAAAGGAAGTTTGGGGTTTTTCTTTTTTCTTTCTCAAACACATTTTCCCCCTCTCTTCTCCTAAAGAAAAAGTTACTTTCTAATATAGCATAGTTTTCCTGTGAAGCTATATTCATAAGAAATCACATATCCACCATTTTGCATTTTGTCTTTTATATTTCTCTTATTACCATATTTAATTTGACTCAAAAAACCCAAAAGTTAGGAATAGCTTTTAAAACAGGGGAAAGCATTTTTCACTTTAAAATACTTTATTCATATAAACTGCATCAAACTGAATCAGATAAACATATCAGGGCGATTACACTGAAGAACTGGTCTTTGACAAATATATAATTTCAGTTTGGTTTAGAACATCATGCAACTAGCATAAGCACAAAAGAATAAAGAAAATACTTTCCCAAGTAAAAAGAAAATCAACTTAAACATTTACTTCCCTTATTTTCAAACAGAAGCTCTTATTTTCAAATGAGAAAAAATTTGAACTGAACTGTCATGTTGAATTATATTTTGATAATTGCCCACAGAAGTATGTCGAACACAGAACAGTTCAGAATTCAGAGAGCATTATCTAATTTAATAATAAAAAAATACCATGAATATCTAGACTGTAGATAGCAATGTTATAAAGCAATTCAAAATTCCTATTAATATTCAGCAAAGTCTACTCTTTGAAAATGACAAACTGTTTCAAATTAGACCAAAATAGTGACAGAGAAGCTTCATAAACTCTAGTAGATGAATACAACTATGACAGCTGTTCTTTCTCTCTTCTCATTCAAACTTGAATTTAGCTTGATAACTGGAGTATAAAGTTAATGCAACAGAGAAGTTCGTGTAATAATAAAACTGAAGTACTATTACTTTATTTTTCAATGTGTTTGTTTGTGGTTTTTTTCCTTCTGTTTCTTTTACAACATAAAACACTTTCAGTGTTCTGGTTTCATGAGTTGAATTCAGACACCCCGAGCAACTCTATTACCATAAAAACTTGACATATTTTAAGTTTTGCATCAACATGGCTTCCTTTTTGGTTTTCCCCCAAAGGCATCTTTCATATATGCTTTACATACTGTCCTTTTTTCATTCAGTATTCATATTCAAAAATTTATGTTTTAGTTATGTAGATTACTCTTACACCTTAGAATTTCAGGGTTTAAGGGTTTCTTTAGAGGGTGCCTGGTTTTTTTGTTTGGTTTTGCTATTTTTATAAACAGAAATTTGTAAGACACAGAGGAAGAAATACCATTACTCAAAATATTAATTTTCTCTGAGAGAACAAAAAATAACAGGCAATGAAGCAGTTGGATATACTTACTAAGATAATCCTAATGCTTCTTTTTCACTTCTGACAGCAGCTGTTAAATACAGCCAGAGAGTTTTAACTTTAATTAGGTTTTTTCACTTCAAATAGATAGAAACCTTTTAAAAAAAGTAACCACAAAAAAGTTGTAGTTAAAATATGTTAACTTTTCCCTGACAGTGAAGCCTACTTCGTCAACTAACAAACCCTTATGAACTAAATAATCAGCACTCTTACTACTATGCATCTGTCATCAAACTAAAAAAGGTATTTTAACACAGTCCACACTTGACTGAAACTTGTAAAATGTACTAGCTCATGAGAATAAGAATTTTGATTTTGCAGTTTGTGTGGTTGACCAAATCGACTTTCAAGAACTTAAGTTTGTTTCAAGGGAAACATGAAGATGACTGGAGTTATTTTCTCCATCCCATCAGTATGATATGACTTCAGACACTTCGGTTCTGAAAATCTGTGGAACTACTTAAAAAAAATTGAGATTATAGGAAAATATGACAGAAGTAATACTAAAAATAATTTTACATACAATAAGCAAAGAAAGGCAGCAAAGCCTAAGCTTTGTCACCTTTCAGGGGAACCTCCAGAGGTGGGGGAAAAAAAATTAATGCATCTATTTTTTTTTATTAGCCTTGAAGTTAAAGCTGGTACCTAGAAAACTTGGATTCGTAGTATTTGCTTATCACAGTTACTGATAAAAATTTGATCAGTCAGTCTCAAATCTCTCCCAATACAACTACTGGATGCACCTATGCATCCGACATTTCAGATGAACTGTTACAATTAGTTTGGAAATCTGACAGCATACTGAAGAGACTGAAATCAAAATTGAAATACAGAAGTAGAGAAGGATTGATTCTGTAAAACAGTATTGCCTAATCATAATAAATCATGGCCATTCAAAACAGTACTAGAAAATAAAAAACTGTAAAAAAGCACGTAGCCATACCCTACATGGATTTTGAGACGCTTTTACAAGTACTCTCTAATTTGCTAAGAAAAAAATAGGACCCTTTTCTGTCCAACTAAACCTGATTTGGAAATACTCAAATATGTAGCTCCACTGTGAAGTATAAAGAACAGTGAAATGAAACTAGAATAGGCAGGGTACACTGACCTCTGTTAACAGCAAATGGGACCTGGAGTAAGATTAATTCCATATAGCATATAAGAATTTAGTTCACACATTTCCAAGCCCTTTCTGGAAATTAAATACATTAATGAGTAAAACATACATAGTAATATATTATCACCCAACTACACCAAACAGTTTCTTGTCTTTGTGTGCTCAGCTGTTATCAACACCTTCTTAAGGTAACTATACTCCAAGAAATGCCAGAAGTGCTAATTGGGTTAGCACAATTAGCTAAAAATCCACTAATTAAATAAGTAAATCACCTCATTTTGACCAAAGCAGATTAAGAGAGCGCTTATGCAGAGAGATTCACTCGTATATTTGATACCAAATACCACTGACTTCCAGGAGGTTAAGCAACTAAGAAAAAAGAGTAGGGAATAAACTAATCAGTAGCAAGCCACACACAAAGTGCATACCTGGGTAAAGCTCAACTACATTCTTTAGGGCCTTTAATATTACAATTACATGAAAAAATAGTCCTCAATTGAAATAGTTGTATAACTCCAAGACACAGCAAAGTGCTCACTGAAGGATTAGTGAAACTGCAGCTAAAAAAATAGTATTTTAACAAGCTGAAAAATAAAAATAAATTTGTCTAAGTACATAACTAAAATAAATATCCAAACACATACACACAAAAAGATCAAAAGATTAAAGGCAATTTAGAATTAATTTATACCCTATTAATCTATTCTTGCCATTCCACAAGTCCTACGGACATATTTGCTCTCCTTCATGCTCTCTCATTCCCTAACCTTCCAAAAACTAAGCATAAGATGTCCTCTTAATACTATCTACATTTTCCTTACAGTTCTGTTTGCAGTGCCTCCAAATATACAGTTTTATTAACCAGCCCTAGGCACAGCAGTATATTATGACAAGCACTGCTAGCTCACAAACAACTCAAACAATTCACTGCTCACTATTTTCAAAATTCTCCTCCTTAATTAAAGACCATGGAAGAATGCAAAATTGTCTGATATCTTATCCCAATTAGGCCTGAAAAGCTATATTAAATATTAGTAAAGAAAATTACTCAGATATTGTGAATGATTTATTTTTAAGTAAAACATACATAAAAAATGAACAATTTAAAAATATAATCTAGCCAAGGCTTTTTTAAAGCACTAAAATTTAAATCTATATTTTTACCTCCTTTGATCCAATGCAAATCATCTGGAGGAATTTAGGGTTTTTCACTATAACTCAAATATTTAAATGAATAAAAAAACCCTGACAACTTTCTGAATTACAGAATATTCATGCATTTTAAAAGCGACTACAAATTCTCAGGATAAACAGCTTCTTCACAAAGATCAATTATATCAGGACTGTAAACTTCAGAATCTAAACATTGCAGTGCTTTAAAATGGGGAATTAGTACTTTCTGCACAAAAAGAATGGTTGAATTCCAACTGAGGAATCTGATAGGTGGCATAAAAGAGAAGACGTAAGTAGGAAATAAGACCCATAAAAGGGTCTCAGGAAGCTCCTAAATAAAGTAGAACAAGCCAAATCATAAGAAACAGGATAAAACACAATTTAGCTCCGCAAGTTGATTTAATAATGAGTTAAGACACATGCTGTCGGGACTGTCTTTCAGCACCTATTATTTCTAGCTTCTTTCCCACTGCAGTCACAGCCAGTGCTGCCACACAGCACAGGAGACTGGTACAGAAGAACCATGTCCTCTGCACTGCAGACAGGCACTAAAAGGGTCTATTGATTACTTGTGGACCTTTCTCACTTTTTCCATGTGTCAAAAGCAGGAATCATCAATGCATAAAATCAAATTCAAATGCTGGTTATCTTACTCATCACAGTCTTCTCTCTCTCCAGCTACTCTGCACGACAAGATATTTTCACTGGATAATAGATGGGCTCATCAACAGTGTAGAGTGGGGGCACATATTCCTAGAAAGTCAAAAAGTGAATGGCAATTATCTCAAAGCCAGCTAAGGCAATGCTGAACAATTTCTGCATCATGTTTATATATACGTATATGTGCATATACTAGATGTGTTGTAAGATGTGAAAGCAAAGAGTGATTCAAAGAGAATCGACAGTTAATTTAAAAGTTTCAGAAAGCAAAGCGGCTTGTGTTTGTTGCCAGTCTTTTACAGAGGAATACATAGGATGTTTTCTGGGCTTAGGCAGAAGATGTAATTGGGTTTTCAGTATATTCAATACTTGAATTCAAGAGTTTTATGTCAGCTTTCTTCATTCCTTGGCAACTCAAATCACACAAGTAACAATATTCCATTCAATTATCAAAGAATATTGCACAGAATATTGTTAATGTTTATGAGAATTTCAGTCAACCTCACTGGTATCATCATTATTACTATAAAAAATCATGGAAACTATTAAGAAGCAGCACTGAAACACGCCTTTGTATGTGGAAATTGCACTACTGATGATTTGCATTAAGGAAAGAAAATATAATGTGATCAAACGGAACCTGTGACACTGAATTTTCATATGACAAAAGAATGATTTAAATTATTTTGACTAGTTTTTCAGGCAAGTTTTACAATGTTTTAAAAAACGAGGAAACATTTTCTTCATACTTGCAAGAAAATGTTAAAATGTCAGTTATGCTTCATGTCAGTGCTTTCATGAAAATTTAATTTGTGTAAGTTTTATAAATCATTTCAAACAAATGTGTAAATAAAAACATTTTTATACGGTATTGCTCAAAAATGTATTTATTTAAACAAAGAAAAGTAAAATGGTAGAAGTTTGTTACAAAGTGTAATGCCAACCTTTTCAGAACAGCTCAAGAGCATACAAAGATAGCAAATAAAAAAATCTTTTCAGCTTTAAAACTGCAGAAACCCCTCGTACTCTTGAGCACTCCATCCTGGGAGGCTTTCCTGTATTTCTTTCATGGTAAACCAGAAGACAGCATGGATGATTCTATCAGTCTCTAACCACTTGAAGGGCCTGAGAAAGAGAGAAGCATCCAGTTAGTCCAGTTATAGCTCCTTGTTCAACTTCCACATTACCAAAACAATTTGTCATTCATTCAGTTTTGCTCAGTCTTTTCTAAGTAGAATAACTACATATATGTTACATCTTTTCCACCGTATCTCCTCAAAACCCCAATGCATGAGCCCTATTCATAATTCTCCATGGACCAGTGCATTGGAGGAACTGATTAAGAAGGTCTAGGTTTTTAGGTAGAAGTATTCAATATCTCAGATTAATTTATATACTGCAGCAATCATGGTTTCAGCTTGGTCTTGGAAATAACATACGTTAGACAAAATTTTACCTTCTAACACTATAAATATAAGAGAACTTCTAGCAGCTCTCTGGAGTCAGTGGGTTAATACTCTTTCCTCTCTGGCTTTACATACAGCATTCAACAGTTGGAAAAAAAATAATAGTTTTAAATTATTTGCAGTAAATACGCTGAAAAGGAAAGAATGAAGGTAATAACTAGTATGAAATCTCATTTTAAGGACAGGAAGCTGCCTGTAACATATGAAAGGTAATGGAAAGCTAAGCAAGGCAGCTACAGACAGATAAGTGCTTTTCGAGGACCAAAGAAATGTTATGTTCTCATAGGAACACAGGTCTGGGACTAAATCCCATCCCAATTCTGTTAGGATTTCAGCCTGGATTAATTATTTCTTAAAGTCATGCCAGTATCTACTTAAAAACACTAGGTAACAGAAGTTGCATTAAATGCCTTCTACAAAAGGATCTAAGATCACAAGAAAAATACTTACAAGAGTAACACCTTCCTTTCCAAAGTTTTCAGTTCATGAGTTCTTGTAGACATCCTCAAATTGACTTCAGCAAGAAGATTGCAGACAGTATCTGAATCACCATTCCAGTCTTCAGCAGCTTCATTTTCCTTCAAATTCTTTATCCAACATAGAATGATGGAATGCTAAGAATAGTATTTGTTTTATGCCACTGATTTCCCACTAACTGCTAATTTTCTCTTGACCCAACACTACTATGGGTCTCACAGTGATTTCAACACAGCCATTCCACTTAGCAATGGCCTGGCATGCATCCTTATTATGATGGTGTTTCTCTTGAGCTCTCATCTCCCTGGATGGTGAATAAATCCAGGTCCTCTCTGTGGTTCTACGTATACACACAAGGCCCAGTGAGTTAATGAAATACAGATGTACAACTGAAATGTCAAATGTAGTGAAGTGTAGCTGACTCCATGAGCAAGAAGCCTCAAGAAACTGTGCAGCACAACTCAATGACTGGAAATAATCTAGATCAACAGGAACTCAGGGCAACAGGATGGTGTACAAAGACAGCAACACATATACAACTTGAAATAGGACTTGCAAGCCAGTGCAAAATTTCCTTGTCTACATTTAGTCAAACACTGAGCAGTCACATGGTATATCTTACCTCATTAACAAAAACATCTTTGGAATTGCATCCATATTGACAAGATTACTTTTGACACAAACTAATATGCAACAAAGTCACAGAGCTTTCAGGAAAACTGCCCTCACAGTAATCAGCATTCCTTCTGCCAACATACGTTGTAACACTGCTACATCATGCAAGAGATTAGAAGTAAGCATAAAATAGTTTTCCCATACCACTAACTTTGAAATTCCAAGGAAGCTGTTATGTTATTGTGGAATAAGCTTATAGGACTAATTCCTCCTTCTTCTCATTTAGACCTGAAATTCCTAATTTCTCCTCATTTGGACCTGAGATTCCTAATCTGAATCTACTATATTTCAGCAAGGCTGGTTATCAACTCCTCTAAAATTTTCTTTAATTGCAGTTGTGCTTCTCCTGGCTTGCTTGCTTTGACAACCAAGTTCTATCTTGCTGAAGATATTACAGTATTCCATTTTCATCACAAAGTAGGGAACTAATGAGACATTCACAAATTACACTTTCTTACACTACTGGAAAAGTTGAAAGAATGCTCTCAACTTTCAATTCCTACCTTCAGTCACTTAACCTATTCCAAATGTGGGAACTTATGTGCCAAAATTAGGTACCTCAATCCACACTAATTCATCAAAACATCTATGACTTCAGTCCTTATAAACAAATCCACAAACCTACTTTGTGCCATTCAAATTTGAATGAAAAGGCAAGTAAATTATCACTTCCATACATGCCATTTCTATCTTCAAAAGTTCTTTAACAACACTTTTCCAAATAGTTTCTGGATGTCTTTAGCAGACCAGAAAGACTCCCATCACTAGGATAACTATGTCACATACTTGTCATGCAAGATAAAGGATTTAGGGCTCTCTCAGTTGTCATAAAGCTAAAAGAAACATGGCTTTGCTCCCACAAAAATATTTGACAAAACTGCAATTGTGTGTAAATGTTATCAGGATTTACTATCAGATGATCTAATCAGCACAGATTTATTATAATGGTGTTATTAATAAGAACTTATTAATCAATCTTTAATAATCCTTTAGGACCTCTTTCTCTTAATTATGATTAAATTATAAATTAAAAGGCATTATCATCACTTTCAGTAGCATGAATTATGACCCAAATGACTCAGAGCTGCAACACAAATGCTCCAGTTATACTGAAAAAAATCCACAAAAATCAATAGTTAAAACAATAAATAAAGCACCTTAAGGTACAAACCAATATTGACTTAAAAACAGAGTAAGAAATAAGATCCAAAATAAAATCTGAGGTAAATACAGAGTCTTATTAGAGTAAATATTAAATACACTAGTAGCTTCAACATTTTTGCTAGGAAACCTATGTTTCTCTGCATTTATTTCTACATATATTACTTAAGCATAATTAATAGTATGAGCTTTTAATCCAGCTATAATTTTACTACAAATCTCAAGATTTTTTAGGCACTTTGCAAATTTAATGTCCCCATTTCAAGTGTCATGCACACTCTTATTCATTCTAACCTGAAGGCATCACTCATTGTAACTACAAAGACTCAAATCAAAAAGCTATTTAAAGACATATCTTTCAAAGTTTTATGTCACTGGGGGAAGTAACTGCTATTAGCACTAAGCCAGGACCACTAATATATTGAAGAAAATACTGAAATTAGTATTTTCCTTATTATATAGAAATCTGCTCTTAAATAAGCTTTCACAATGCAGTTTTCTAAGTTCCATACATTTTCAGTGGCAAAGTACCTTTGACAGTTGTTAGGTTTTGAGTTTTGTCTTTCTTCAGTGGACACTTCTGGAGCAGTTATGCTTTCTGATATGAAAATACTGACAAACTGGCAAATACATTAAAATCAGCAGGGTCTCCAAATGTAAGTTGGTGGTAAAGACAAACTTATTTACCATATTAATTAAATGGTCTGTTTAACATGGAATATCAATTCTCTAATCACATCTCATTTGAACTTCTTATTTCAATTAACAACCCTAAAGTCTACTAGAAACCCCACTGTTCTAGGATCATTAAGAACATTTTCATTATCTGTCAAATGAGGGAGTAAAAGGCAGAAACTGCAAGTACTCTCAGGAGTAGGCCTCTACCCTACTTAAGAGATGATTAGGGAGAAAGCAGCAGTAGTTCTCATTAGTTGCTTAGCAATGAAATGTCCCTCTATGAAACAAGAAATTAACAAAGCAACAGAGGTGTTGCCATGCAAATGAGTAAATGGGCAGTCTATCATCTACTCAAGGATAATGTGTCCTTCATCGAATTTAATCAATCCCGATTAAGACACCAATGGGTATCTTGCATAGGGAAGGTAAGAAGAATCCAGTACCTACAGCCTCACTGAAGTAGCCAGGCAAAGCATCGCTCAAGTTTACATATAAGCATTGTGCATTTTCATTCTATGTCAGTATGACAAATAGAAATACAAGGAAAAGAGTTTTAAGTCAAGACAGATTAGCAGTCATTTTTACTGTTTAACTTTACTCTTTATATCCACAGTTATGTGGATATAGTTATACCCAAGTTATAATGAACTGTTGTTAACAATCAGCCAAACTCTTAATATTTATAAAGACATAAATACCAATCTATAAATTTAAGATAAGGGTGGTGTTCTTGCAAGAGGTGAGCATTTAACCAATATCTGAGTTTGTCAAACAACTAGTTTTCAAAAACTACACACACATATAAGGCCACAAACTCAAGAGAAATACAGCTATTTACTATTGTTACTAGTGCTGTAAGCCCCAGAATAGCAAAGTTCTCAACCAGAGAAATTTGATTACTGCTGCTTTAATTTTCAGACCCTAATTCCAGGTTGTTATTCTTTCAGTCACAGATCCATTTTAACGAGTTCCCTCCAATTTCCCTGCCATTCATTTGAAAGGTTTCCTTGTTTCCTATGCTGTTTTTTCTTGTTTTGTTTCATTGCATTGTTTTGGGGAGTTTTTCATTGTTGTTGCCTGATTTTGGTTGCATTTTTTAACCCCCTGATCATTTCATAGATACAATTCAGAGTTTCACAAGCAGTGTGAAACAGAAGAGAAAAAGGGAGAATAAAACCACCTATGAAGAAAAAAAATGCATCAGGAGTAGTGAACACTTGTTAACTACAGATTGTGCTTTCAGATCTGACCAACAAGAACACTGTCTGCAGCTTCTACAGAGGATTATTTGGTTAGGTTTTGTTGAGGGGGGAGGTTATCTGAAATAAAAACCTGAAGGAATCCTGAACTCCAGTGACTTAGGTGAAATCTGACTGCTTCTCAGTATATATTCAAAGGGAACTATATAGAATTAAAATCATAAAAGTATGGTAAGTTATGTATAAAAATATGACTAGCTTGTCCAAATTGTTATTCAGATTAAAACTAAGATACAGTTCCAAAACCCGTAGCAATTCATAATTCAGTATTAAGACAAATCTTACCTATATATTCACAAACGAAGACTACAAAAAAAGGAGTAACAAGATCATTTATGCCCTGAACATATCCACTGGCTGGATGACGTATTGCCCAGATAAACAAAATTCTTTCAAAGATCTGAAAAAGAGTTAAAGAACTATCAGATAATTTATCAAGTGATGAGCACATTTTAAGCACAACACTTGAAAATTATACGAGAACAAATTCAACATCACAGAACTACTAGTATAAAAACGTGCATACGAAAGCATAAATAAGCATCAGTATTCATAATTAACTTCCAGTGCTAAGTAAGCGCCTCAGATCTTCAAAAGGAAGCATTTTCACTGTATTAGTACATTAAAACCAACCTAGTACATAATTAATTTATAGTAGTTACAATGAAGTAGCACTTACTCACTGAAGCTTTTCCAAAAATGTAAAATACTTCTTTCCCGAAAAGAGAAATATTAGATCATTTTCTCATGACTTTTCACCTCTTTGAGAGAAGTATTTTATCAATATATCATTGTATCTACCCATAAGTAACAGAAAGAAGTACTTCATTTAGTTTAGTCTTTTTAATATTATACCCATAAAAGAGATTCCGTCATAGTTTGGCTTGTCCAGCACTGCAATGTGGGGTTCTAGATTTCAGAAGCAAGTATACTGGTTAACAGCAATAATAACAAAAAAAAAAAAGCTATCTGAAAAAATCAGGAAATATAGAAATAAGGCAACTACCTGCCTGAGGGTATTGCATGACATCACTACCTCAACTGTAAACTCTACCTTGCCTGAGATCTGCAAAAGCTCCTAAGGCCACAACCTTGGGGAGGACAGCATGAAAAGAGTACAGAGCAGGGAAATCACACAATTTATCTCTAACCCAATTTAGGTCTGTGACAACCTCTAGTTGTCCTCAGTTATTTGATTCTGAACATGCTACATGTCTTAAATGCTTCAAATAGGCACCAGAGTGAAAGCTGTTATGTGCTTTGCCCTAACTACAGGTACACAATCAGGTATAATCTTGCTGAAGCAAAAGAACGTTTGCTTTTCCCTGGAAGGTCTACCCAAGAAGCCAAAATGCAGCTAAGCAGAGAAAGGAGAGCTCAAACCAAACGACTGTGTCAGTCTTAAGATCAGGCCTCCAATACTAATAGAAAAATGAGAGACTTCAGAAGGACCCAAAGGAGATTGCACAGTTTGCTGCAAGCCCAGAAGTCAATGAATGCTCAGGCTTCAATAAAGCCAGTAAAAGACCTGACCTCAAAGGACACAACAGGGAGAAAAAGCTAGTATTATTTCTATTCAATCTCACTTTAAGTGTTTGCTACATTAAGAAGTTGACTATTCTAATTCAATTTTAAATAAGAACTTATTCTTTAGTTTAAAAGCCCTCTTGCAGTCATTTTCAAGTACAGAAGGATCTAGGCATATATGACTGCATCCAGGTGCATAAGAATTCTATCACAGGCTTCCCCATGAACTACATGAAGCTGAAACACATTTGCACTTTTTGGTTTGAAAGCAAATATCAACATTCACTATTCTCCCACAGGCTTTCTTTTAACAACCAGATTTCCTTAATCTCCAGGTTTTACATTTCCCTGGCATGCTGAAAATCCACAGAACAAGGGAAATGGTCAAGAACAATCAATATAAAAAGCTTTGGTGGGCACTGAAACACAAGAAGCCTTAACTCAGCTCATGTTTGATCCATTCCAGCTACAATTAAGATTCGGTTTTTGTGATTTCAGTTTTTGGGGCAAAGATCAGGCAGAAAGGGAGGTATTCATTTAGCAAAAGCTCTGCAAAAACCTCATATTCGTTAGCTAAGGTGCTTATCTCTTTAGCTATAAATTCTTCTGTGTGATAGTCCCTGTCACCTCATGCTTTTTAATATGTGCTGCATATTAAACTGAAAAAATACTAACCTGTGCAAACCGAGCAATAGCCAGTGGCTTTTCATCATCTATCAACAACTGTATAAAGACCCTAAGTTCTGCCATGTACTTTTACATGTACATCACATTTTACATAATTATGCCCTTATGAAATTGGTTATATCACATTTTTACTATTATTGAAAAACTGCAAATCAAGTTAGCTCACAGCCATCCTTCCTGCTTCTGTCAGTTGCTGTTTCAGTTTCAGTAACATTAGGTTATCGGTATTACCAGTGTTATCATCCTGTGTTTCACTTCAAATAAAGGACACATTTAACATATTGCAAACACAAATAACTTTTCTGAAAACAAATTTAAAACAGAAGTGACTAGAAAACCCTATTTAAGTAGTAATTATGTTGTGCAGTAGGCTAGATTAAAAAAAATCCTTGTGTGATGGCGTTACAAAATATGCACAGTGAGAAACAAACAAAAAAAAAAAAGTAATTCAGTAACAGCTATCAAAACACCCATTCTAAAAACCACAGAAACACTGCTTTTCATCAAGGCATGCCTCAAATCAAACAATGCTCAAATTTGTACCATCAACTTGTCCTTTCCTGAGAACCTGAAAATATACATAGTGTGCATTGCAAATTGAGCTGCTTATGGATTTCAATGCATTTCTAAAATCCAGGTATGAAAACTAAGGGGATGTGGCGGTGGTGTTTGGTTGGGGTTTTTTAGTTTGTTTGGGTTTGTTGGGGAGGTTATTTAATATTATTGAGCAGGAAGAATCATTTCATGATTGGCACATCATCTTTAATATCCCCAGATGCATCTAATCACAAATTCCACAGATACACACTAAAAGTGTTTTCAGTTTCTTACTCGTTTTCATAAAGTTTCATTTACTGTTCTGAATTGAAAAAAATGAGCACTGAAAACCTGAAAGGCAGATTGATTTAAGTTTCTATACAGCAGTCACCACTGTGTTCAAATAGGACTCATTAAAAAGGTCACTTTCCTTAAAGGTTTCCTTCTTGATTTCCAAACCAGCAGCAGAAACTGGAATTAGTTTTCTGCTAGGAACTGCTACATCTCATGTCATTACTGATCAATTATTCTCTTTTGAATTTAACTCTCATTCATGATAACAGCCAGAACTATATTTATATACATAAAGAGAAGAATCCATTAGCTTAACTTATTGCACCTAAACTCTAAACTTACAGACACTAGTCTTCCAAAGAAACCTGACTGAACTATATGGGGGAAGACCTCCAACTACACTCTCCCACTCTTTGAGGGCCCTACTACCTTCCTCTGACCCAGTATACACAACCCCCATAAAAAACAAACACTTCAAACAGATTTTAAAAGGAAGTTATTTCCACACATAAGACTCAAAAGACCTTCTTCTAAACTGAAACGTTTTATTACAGGAACCAAATTCCAAGTTCAGAAAAGAAATTAAAACATCTTCATTAATTCTAATGAAAAGCTCTTTGGGAACAGAGACTCAGATACCAGCAAGAACAAAAATCTTGGAATAGCAGCATTTGGAAATTGATGTCAGAAGACACTGTGAGGTTTCTAGATGCATTATGTTTCTGGTCTTTTCACTAGAGCTCTTCTTCCACCTTTGTCACCTACAGTCTCTTTACCTCATCCTAAGTGACATTCTTCCTAGTAGCAGTATCACCATTCTACATCTCTGTAGCATCAAAAATTGCTATATAAAAAAAAATCATAATACACACAGTCTTGTTAATTGCACCACCCTTTGAAACCTGTCTTTGACTTATACTCTGATTCTCTTCTTTATGACTCTTGCCATCACACCTTAAAAAAGAGGGGGTAACTGTTGCTCATCTGGGCCCAGCAACACCTTCTCCCTCTCTTGGAGTCAGGTCTTGGAACAGTGCAAAGCCCCTGTTTGCATTGAGCCCTTGGGCGCAGAAAGGGTTTCCCTGTGATAAATGATTAGGCTATGCTAGCATAAGGCGCCAAAATCCCATCAAGGGAGAGGAAGAAACAAGGAAGAAGTTGGATGTTACAACCCTTCCAGCATCGTTTGCACTAGTCATTGTAAGGTGACATCAAGCCAGTTAGGCTTGGCTCTCTTTGGATCAGAAAGTGAAGGCAAAGATATAGGCAAGCCTACCCCCATCAGCAGCCCACACATACAGTCAGGAGATCAGAGAGCAGTGGAGCTCTAAAAACACCTAACACATGAAGACCCTGAGACCCTGTAAAGTTCAGTACCAATGGATCACTAGAAATTAAATCAGAGCTTTTCTTTATAGTTGAAATGCTTCCTAGATTTCCCATTATCCCACTTGACTGCTGCCATACACCCTTTTCACGTTCTTATTTTTCTGTACCAACATCACTCACTGCCAACTGACAAAATATTATTAAAAGACACCTTTACCATTTCTTTACTATGAACTAGGGGGAAAAAAAAAGGTGTTAGAGAAGAAGTAGCACTCTTGTACAATGCATGCATCACACTGATGACAAGTATGTCTTTCTATGTTATGTGGCTCAATTAGGCTTGTTTAGTGACTCAATTTACTAAACATTTAAACTAAAAAAATGTAAGTATGATCAGCAGCAAGCAGGGATACTGGGCTGTATTCAGAAGACTGAATTCAAGGAGCTGTATACATGAAATAGAATTCTTAGTATTGGGAGATAATTCAATGTCACAAGGGCAACTGGAGTTTTTAAAAAGTATGGATTTAAAATATGTTTCTTTTATGGCAATGCTAAAGATGCACCTGTCCAATGAAACATTAGGAAAGCATACATTTGGACAGGTTCAACAAATAGCTACGAATGAAAATAATGTTAATTTTAACAAAAAATATATTTGCAAATGAGATGCCAGTAAATCGCATTAAATGACTATGCAACCTGAAAATTGGTGTTACCTGCAAACAGACAACTAAAACCAAAAAATACCTAATAATTTCAAGTGTTTAATGATGCCACAAAGCGAGCCAGAACTGCATGCCAGACTCAAACTTTGTTTAGTATTTGCTATTGAAGTTTCATCGACATACTGAAAGTTACTTAGCAAGAATTTACCTAGACACAGTATTTCTTTTTTATTTCAGTTACTCCCAAGCAATAAGAGAAGTGTTTTACTCTGGGAGGATCTACTAGTTTTGAAGCTGACTGTCAGCATTTTCATTAAACTAGCCTATTTTCAGATTAACTACAGTTCAGCTATAAAAAGAAAGAAAATCTCCTTTCAACTGTGACTGCTTATAACAAATACTGCACTATATTTTCATCACATTACCATACTCTCCAATGCCCAAATAAATCCTTTAGCTCTAAGTTACTCATTCAACCAAAAAAGGGTTTGTAACTACCCTGGAACTAATTCTTTTCAATTACATTTATGGGATACTTCTCCCAACACACTAAGTATTTAACAAAATTACTCATAGCAAATGTTGGAAAACCTTGACCAAATCTTCTCTGATTATCAGCATAAGTTTACTCTAACATTTCTAGATGTACTGTTAAAAAAAGCAGATATCCACGGTAAATACAAAGCTGTGTCCATACAAACTATTATCAAGTTTGCATGCACTCTAAAGAAATGTATTAACCAGTCCAAGATTCCACAGGTTTCTATTTCTGACAATCTCATCATTTTACTAAATATTATTTTACTTCAAATAATCTCCAGTAAGAATATTTTGTCTGTTTTAGTATCATTTTAAAGCCACTTGAGTTTTCATCCAAATAATTTGGTTAAAAGAAAGGATATAAAATATATTCTTCAGAAGACATTTACCTGAAATTTCTAGTTTAAAGTCCTTTTGCTTTTTTTTTTTTTTTTTTCAATTGTTCAGCTAATTTTTTACATAAATACACCATCTAGCAGTCATTCCTGAGGAAGTGTTTCGTACTTTTCAATCTTCCTTTAAAAAACAGGAATGCACAGATTCTTACTCCAGGCAAGTTAAACAGCTTCTAGCTTTTCCTTAGCTAAAACATGAGGGAGAAGAAAACCCAAAGTAATTTTGAGGCATTTTCATCTAAACTGAAAGTTACAAAACCACGATCATTGTACCTGTGAACCACAGTCATACACAATTTAAGACACACATGATCTTCATGGAAGCCTTAAGAACAGATTAATCTTGCAACACAGGGAAGTAAAAAGCTTATCCCAAGAAAGCCACCAGTTTGTGTTGAATGCAAATACAACTTCAGAATAATTTAAAAGACTACTGCTGATACAATACAAGTAGTTCTTTCCTCTTAGAAGTATTATTCTTCTTTCTGTAGCCCTTTCTGCATGACAAAATAGTCACTTCTGATTTCATTCATTGGCTCATTTCTATATACAACACTGACACTGATCTTACTAATCTCTTTAATAGTGTATTTCTTGCTGGTATTGTTTCCCTTTTGTCCCCTATTTTTCTTACTTTAATCTTTTTAATCATCCCTAGAATAGCCAAGGTAAAACACCACTGTGTAGAAAACATAAGTATTTTTATAACATTTTCTTTCAAGAAACTGTAATAGGCTATTTCTTCAAACTAATTTCTCCAACACAGGTGGCGAAGTGTTTCCATTAAACAAATAACTGCTAGAGCAGAAAAACAGATGAAAGCTAGTTCTGCATTTAACTTCTCTATCATCTAATGAACTATCCAAAGATGTTCTATATGGCTCTATAATGATACTAACAGAATTTACATGGAAGTACATCTGAAGATCTAACTAGAACCATTAGAAAGGAGAAGGAATTGAAAAAGAAGAAATAATTGAAAGCAGATAATTCACACCATCTACACTATTTATGATCTATATAATTTACAAAGTCACTATGGTATTCAATTACCAAACAAAATAGACCAATTTGATTAACATATTTACCATTAATTGATGTACATTTACTATACTGGTGAAGAGCTTAAATAGTGTGCTCAACATATAAAACTTAAGGAAACAAAATGAAATAAGGAACACAAAACCAGTCATGCTACAAATTCACAAAAAGAGAACTTCCTAAGAGGAAAACTCTGTGATAAGAACTTTCAGACTTCAATGATTTTGACAAATATATAGAACCATGGGGACTATGCTCTGCATTACTTCAAAACACATGATTACCAAAATACAGACAGGAAGAAAGGAAAAAAAATGAAACTCAAAGGCACAATACCAAAGAAAAAAACCTGACAGATTCAATGCAAAAGATTAATGATATGCCTTTACTTTTACTACTTATATTTACACTATTCTTAGCCTATACTCATATAACCTTTTTTTTTTTACTTTAAGCTAGTTCTGAAGTTAAAATTGCAAGCGTTGTCAAATTAATTGTTAACCAGTGCTGTTACATCAGATTCATTAATAAACTGATATCTCAAAAAAAAATAATCTTTAGATATCATTCTTACCTCTGTTACTTTGGGCTGAAGTCTTAAAACTTCAGGACTCATGCGTGGGATATCTATATGGATCTAATTAAACAGAAAGAAGAATACTGTAAAAGGAACCAACCACAAACCTTTTAAACAACCCAACAGTTAAAACAACTTTTTAGTTTTACAGTATTAGCTATAATGTCATTGAATCACTGTTTTTGGAATAACATGGATTTACTGTATTTCAAAACATACAGCCACATCTTTAAGTTATTGTTAATCAGTGAGGTAAAATAAAGAATGAAATGCCCATATATTTTGTTTTCACATTTTAGGATTCTTACATCACATTTTGATCATTTGGAAATTATAGTCATTTGGGTAATACTTGTAACCTGGGGTATTTATGAGTAAATATAGACTACTGCTGCTGTAAAGACATGTTCAGTTGATACTGTCATGGAATCGTAGAATCATTTAGGTTGGAAAAGACCTTTAAGATAAGGACTAACCATTAAAAGGTGAAAATAGAGTTTAGCACCTATTTTATGTATTTGACAATTACTTAAGAAGAGAGCCCAAATATACAACTTTGCAAAGGAGTTTTATGCAACAGAATACTAGCCTGATTATTCTGGGCTAGATACACAAGTACCTTGTATTAGTTATGCTATATACTTGTTGCCAACAAAGATCAGACTTGAAGCTGAAAAACTCTGCTTCTTCTGTCTTAAAGAAGGCTAGGTACTATTGCTTACTCCATACTTAGTAATACAAAATAAGTATGGAGTATTCATTAACTTGAAGAAAAGTTATCTGGGCAGGCAAGAAAGTTTGACACAGCTATAGTTATTTTCATTGCACTTCATAAATAGTTTCAACTTCTTAAGCAGAAGTATGAAGCCAGTAAAAAAAACAGTCACTGTTACACTCCCTGTCCATTTTCACTCAAATCAAGGAAGGTCTGAGCAGGAGATGAAAGATTTGAAAACCCTATTACTAAACAAAACAATGACAGCACTGAACAGCAGTGCCACACAGCCTGACTAAAGCCGAAATTAAAAGAAATCCACTGTTTTGAATTTCAGACCAAAATAGGTAATATTTTTGCTCCGGAAATGTAAGGAAACGATTCATTAGAGAGCTGTCTATCAAGTATTATTTAAAAAATAGAGAAAAACAGTGGCAAACATAAAAAATATCAAAAATAATCTCTAAGTTCTTTAGAAGATAACCTGTAAGTAAAAGTCACTTCAATAGGTGTTCTACCTGTCTATAGGTATCCTGGTGATTTTCATCATTTCTGGAATCATAATATTGTTCAACAAATGCAAAATACTCTTTGCGTTTTCTTTGTAAAGTGCTTTCTCTTCTGTCCACATTTGCAGGAAGATAGCCCTGAAAATAACAGTGAAAAGAAAAGGATATTATTTTTTGCCTTACAAAAAGCACTACTGGTATTTGACTATGTGTGACAGGAAAGCTAATAAACTCACGCAGTGTCATGCAGTCCTACCTGGGTCTGAATAATCCTTTAGTAAATCAATTTTCTAATAATCCCAACTGATGCAAAAGTACAAACATCTTACTAAAATCAGGTTTGTTTTTTTGGGGGGGAGGGTGGAGTGGTTGGTTGTTTGGGGTTTTGGGTTTTTTTTGTTTTATTAAGTGAAAAGTTTGAAGTTTTTCCAGCTTTAAAAAGCAATTTCTCTCCAAGAATTCTAAGATTACGTTTGCTTCCTGAAGACAAAAGTTCAAAACAAATAACTTGAGATAAATGCAACGCTATATGAGTTCATTTATTTCTACATTTCTATATGGCCGTTATTAGAGCAATTTTAATGATTTTTTAACAAAATGCATATTATGTCAGTAGCCTCCAAGTAAGAATGATATACATTAGCAAATATGTTTAAATTATGGTTACATCTGTAATACAATGGAGTATTAATTCAAAAGCTTTAAGACATTCTAGCTACTTTATTTCACTGTTTCAGATGAGAAAAAAAAATTAGCTCAAGCTTTCATTTCATCTCAGGAGGTTATTAAGTTTCATCACAAAAAATGACTCAACAGCACCAGCGACTGGGCTCTTAGATGTAAGAGCACGAGCTGTACGTTGCTGAAAGCAATTTATAAATACTATCTTATTTTGTGTAAAGTACGGACACACTAAGGCAGTTGCATCAGATAATGCAACAACGTATAATCCTGCTTAAGCATAGAATTTATGTGAATGGTTTATCATTGAACTCAGATATATCTAAAAAAAAACAACTTTCCAGAAACAAAAAACAATCAGTTCTAATTTTCCTCTTTTGTCATGTCTGATCACCATTTCTGCACCACAGACAACTTGCCATCTAAAATAAACCAAGCAACTCAGCTTGCCATTTTAGCATTTTACAAAAGGAAGTATCATGAATGCTATTAAATGGTCAGTTAGATATAAAATACACTTACTAGAAACACCATTATTCATGTAACTGGCTACAAAAAAGATTTCTGAATATTCAGATATATTAAATGCTTTCTTGCAAGTAGCTTGATTTCAAGCAATACTGATATCCTCTAACAATGCAATAAAGAAAGCTAGTTGATATTTTACATAGATGGCAGTCCTTTAAAAATACTTTGCGTAAGAATCATTCTAAAAACAGGTGGCTTTGAAAGAGATCTGAACATCCAAGACCATATTAAAAAAACCCTAATAATCATACTAATCACTATTCAAGTCAAATTAAAAGATTTTACCAATATTAGAAAAGTTCTCTTGCGACAACAGCCATCACCATACCAATGGTAATTGATAAAACAGAGAAACTAAACTTATGCAAGATTTAAGTTCCCTTAACAAAATAATCCTAATCTATAAAGAAGTACAGCATATATATTTGCACTTACACAATGAGCCCTAGCCACTGCAAGTAACTAGCAAAATGCTGCGCATTTAACTATAAAAACAACTATCTTATTCACTCCTAAGCACTAGAAACAAAAACGGAAGTGGTAAACCCAACATACTATAATTGCTAATTATACAATAAAATTAAACAATCCAAGTATATACATTCCATTACTCTCCTGCATCTATCCCATTTCTATAACTTCTCTTTTGCTCAACGTTTAGAGAAAAATAAAAATTACACTCCATACTAAAATGCTAATAGATTTTTGAAAGTATCTCTATATAAAGTCCTCCTAATCCAACGGGAAATCATCAGCAATCTGCTACACCACTTAGATACACAGAAGTCTGCGGGGCCAGATGGATCTGCCAACAGTACAAAGGGAGCTGGTGGAATGCTCACTGAGCCATTTTTCATTATTCATCAGCAGTCTTGGCTAATTGGCGAGGTCCCAGTTGACTTGAGGTTAGCAAATGTAACACCCATCCACAAGAAAGGACAGAAGGAGGATCAGGGGAACTACAGGCCGGTCAGTCTGACCTCAGTGACAGGGAAGGTTATAGAGCAGATCACCTTGAGTGCCTTCACACAGGATGTAGAGGACAACCTGGTGATCGAGCCCCATCATCACGGGTTTATGAAAAGCAAGTCCTGCTTAACTTACCTCATATGAGTTTACAACAAGGTGACCTGTTTAGTGAACAAGGGAAAAGTTGTGGATGTGTCTACTTAGGCTTTAGTAAGACCTTTGATACTGTTTCCCATAGCATTCCCCTGAAGAAACTGACTACTCATGCCTGGAACAGTCATATTTTTCTCTGGTTAAAGAACTGTCTGGATGGTCAAGCTGAATGGAGCTAAATCCAGTTGGTGGCTGGTCACAAGTGGTGCTTCCCATGCTCAGTACTGAGGCCACTCCTGTTTAAGTTTGTCAATAACTTGGATGAGGGGATCAAGTGCACCCTCAGTATGTTTGCAGATGACACCAACTTGGGTGGGAGTGTTGATCTGCTGGAGCATAGGAAGGCTCAAGAGAGAGATCTGGACAGGCTGGATCGATGGGCCAAGGCCAACTGTATGAGGTTCAAGAAGGCTCAGTGCCAGGTCCTGCACTTGGTCCATGACAACCCCATGCAATGCTACAGACTTGGAGAAGAGTGGTGGAAAAGGACCTGGTGATGTTTGTCAACAAATGGCTGAACATGAGCCAGCTTGCGCCCTGGCAGCCAGTGGCATCCTGGCCTTTATCAGCAATAGCGTGGCCAGAAGGACTAGGGAAGTGATTGTCCCCCTGTACTCAGCAGTGGCGACGCACCTCAAATAGTGTGTTCAGTTTTGGGCCCCAAGAAAGACATTTTGGTGCTGAAGCATGTTCAAAGAGCAGTAAAACTGGTGAAACGTCTAGTGAACAAGTCCTGTGAGGAATGGCTGAGGGAACTGAGGTTATTTAGCCTGGAGAGATGGAGGCTCAGAGGTGACCTTACCATTCTCTTACAACTACCTGAAAGGAGATTGTAGCGAGGTAGGGGTACATCTCTTCTCCAAGTAACAACTGACAGGACAAAAGGAAATGGCCTGAAGTTGCACCAAGGAAGGTTTAGATTAGGTATTAGGAAAGGGTTGTCAAGCACTAGAACAGGCTGTCCAAGGAAGTGGTGGAGTCATCATCCCTGGAGGTACTTATAAAACATGAAGTTGTAGCACTTATGGACATGGTTTAACTGGCAGTGTTAGGTTAACGGCTGGACTTAAGATTAAGGGTCTTCTCCAAACTAAATAATTTTGATAACTATGATTCTATATTAAAAACATTTAAAAATGTTAGTCCCATATACTTTAATTCCTTAGTTTAAGATGACAAGAGTAAATACAAATCATATTATACTCCAGACACCTTAAGAGGTATTTGCTTTTGCAAAACCATATCTTTTAGGACTTGCATCTGGTACCTTACATCACACGTGCTTAACTTTTGCCTCAAGGCACATACTGGCATTTAATATCCTGTCCCAGTGTTTTGTATTAAATTAAATATTGAATTCTGCCTCCCATTTATTCTCAACAGTTGTGGGGTTTTTTCCCCCTTTAGGATATCTTAGTTCCATTAGAAAAGAATTCATTTGTGAGATCAGAAGTGATGGCTCGAAGGATATCAATACTTTCTCAGCAAGTCTTTTTGCTATTATTCAGTTTCAAAAAACTGAAGTAATCTTTCAGTTGGACATGTCCTGTTTCCTGCTCACTTTACAAATTAGGTTTTATTTTTAAAAGTAGGAAAGACTTGCAACATATCAGGGAATAAATTGGTGGAGACTTTAATCCGTTTATTCATTAATTTCCTCCAAAGGCTCTTGCAACCATACCCTTAGTTTGGTTATTCAAAAGAAAAGTGAGTCTGAATAGTTCTGCTTGCTGTTTAAGTACAGTATAGCTAACATTTTTGCTATATTTTATAGCTAAAACATGTAATCTTTTTCTATACTCTTACCAATATACATGCATAACATCCACAGCCCCTAAGCATTACCTTGATTTTCATATGCTTTCCCTCTAAAAAACTGTATTCATCTAACACATGTTAATATTATTTACTTTCTATATAATAAGTATCTCAACTGTCCAATTTGTTGAATCATGTTAAAAAAATTCCAACTTCAATTCTGATTTTACAAAGAAGGTTATCACCTTCTGCCTTAGATACTACCAGCTGTACACAGTTCCCCAAACATGTCATAGTTTGGACATGACTGCGTAAGACTTCTGAATAAATCCAAGGCAAACATATCCAGCCTTAATTTAGTTCTAAACTGTGCTTTAGTTTCTTTGGTTTTACAGTCTTTTTTGGTTTCACAACTGATATTTCATCAAAACAGTTTTGCATTTGTATGCTTATTTCCCAAGGCACCTCATAGCACAAAAGATTATAGAATCATAGAATCATAAAATAGTTAGGGTTGGAAAGGACCTTAAGATCATCAAGTTCCAACCCCCCTGCCATGGGCAGGGACACCTCCCACTAAACCATGCCACCCAAGGCTCTGTCCAACCTGGCCTTCAACACTGCCAGGGATGGCGCATTCACAGCTTCCCTGGGCAACCTATTCCAGTGCCTCACCACCCTCACAGTAAAGAGCTTCTTCCTTATATCCAATCTAAGCTTCACCTGTTTAAGCTTTAACCCGTTATCCCCTGCCCTATCCCTACAGTCCCTAATGAAAAGTCCCTCCCCAGCAACCTTATAGGCCCCCTTCAGATACTGGAAGGCTGCTATGAGATCTCCATGCATCCTTCTCTTCTCCAGGCTAGACAGCCCCAACTTTCTTAGCCTGTCTTCATATGGGAGGTGCTCCAGTCCCCTGATCATCCTCATGGCCCTCCTCTGCACTTATTCCAACAGTTCCATGTTGGACTTTTTATGTTGAGGACACCAGAACTGCACACAATACTTCAAGTGAGGTCTCACGAGAGCAGAATAAAGGGGCAGGATCAGCTCCTTCGACCTGCTGGTCACGCTCCTTTTGATGCAGCCCAGGGTACGGTTGGCTTTCTGAGCTGTGAGCGCACACTGAAGCCGGCTCATGCTAAGTTTCTCATCTAGCTAAAGACTAAAGAACTAGAACTAAAGAATTTTGCTAAAGAACATTACTCCCTCTACCTTGGGACATACATTAGCAATAAGTAAACAACTAATGTGACTTAAAAATTAATTACCATTAGAAAAAAGCCTTCTGGAGTTTATGGCCACAAATACCCAAAACACTTTTTCTTCCCCACTTCAGGAAGAAGATGAATCCAGCTGCTGCGTTACAGTATAGAAAAGTTAATGATTCCTAAATGACTCACCTTTGGGGTAGATAAGAAATCATGGTGAGAATTACATAAAAAAGCTGAGACCTTTCAAAATATTGCACAGGGGGCGGGGGGAGAAGGAAGGAAAAAAAAAAAATCACTTAATTCTTAAAGTAGAATCTAAAAGTCCTGAAGACAGTTTCTTTGCAGAGGTATGGCAAGACAGATGAAGGTAAGAATTGAACCAGAATGGATCCTGGAGTGGTTAGAACAACAGAACAAGGGAACTCTACACTTAGGAATTTCTCTAGACTGGGAATCTCAGAAACATTAAGTTAAAATCAGCTTATGGAATGAAGCTGCAGCTCACAGAAAGCCCATGCTCTTACTTGAAAACAAGAAAGTGACTGCAGTTTGCTTATGTATAACTCCAGTTCTCTAAACCTCAGTGACAGTCCTCTGATTCAGAACTTAACCTATCTTATGAATTAGCTTAACTGTATTTCAAAATCAATTTTGACTTAGCCATATTCTTTTTTTATACTTTGAGTGCTTGCAAAGAGGCATCCTAAATCTTCAAGGAAAAAAAAAAAAGGAAAAAATGTTCTTTTCACTACCAAATTCTCAGTTAACTTTGGAAACACAACAAAAATAAATTGTACAGTGCAGGTTTAATTTCAATTACAGCAGGATATTTGAATATCCACCATTAAGAAGCTGCATCTGCATTTAGCATTAGAAGGAACTAAGCTGCAAATTTAGTAGAACTCATCAGCAAGAGAGACTCTTTCAGTCATTGGAAATCAGTGTCAATCTGAAGTAAATACTTTACATTCCCCGCTGAATTATTCTATAAAAAGCAAAGCTATTTAAGTCTACTCTCTGAAAAATTCAATAGTGTTAAACTGTTGTGTGTATAACTCAGAATTTTAAACAGTTCTTAAATGCATAAAGACTTGCTGAGAAAGTGTCTTTCATAGCCTCTGGAGAGTAGACAGCAGTAGATTTTTGCTCCTTTTTAATACAAACATCTTCACAAGTTCTTCTCCCAACCACAGGCAGACAAATAACTGCTAAAACACACAACTGTTTGCCATCTGAAGTATCATAGCTGAAAAGATTGACATGAAAAATACTCCTCTGAGAAATACATCGTATTTTTGCAGAAGAACACTTTTAAATATAGTCTAAACACTAAGATTTAAAAAAAAAAAAAAAATCAGTTCTGTAACACCAAACCCAGTGAATCTCAGATTCCTGCAAGCTTGTCTCTAATGCCCAACTGCAACTGCTGTGTGGTATTTCAATCAACGTACTCCCAAAGCTACTGCCATTGTAAAATCGTGTGACCACTAGGCAAAGTTCAGTGAGCTCAGCCAGCCAAAACCTCACAGTACAAAAAAGTGATTAGTTTTTTAATTAGTTGTCTCCCTGAACTGACTCACAGGTCTGACATCGGGACAGCCAATGCCACAATATAACTGACCACTGCGGTGCAGATTTGTTCACCTTAAACCACTACAGAAAAATCAGAAAAATCAGCCATAAACCCCATAAGATCCTATCTCAGATTTTCCTTAGTACACTGTTAATTCTTTCTTATAGTTACTTTAATGTGAAGTCAGAATTAAGCCCTTCACAGGACACCAATAGGCTTCATTTCCTCTACTGTGTGTCTATTTTCAAGAAAACTGTAAGCAAGTACTTGCATTTGAACTCTTCACCATTGCATCAAAATTGGTTGACAGAGGCCACTGTTTTCGCCTAACCCTCTCATAGAAAGCCACTTTGAAAAATAAAGATGTACAGATGACATGATTTCCTGCTACCTCTCATTCCCCTCCTTTCAGTTTGACAAATTAATCTTGAAATCAAGTAAAAGAACAGAACTTTCATTACAATTCAGCAACAGGACACAGTGTTTTCAAGTATCACTGATGCATTACAACTCAAGCAAAATTATTTGCAATGCTTAAAAAAACAAAAACAAAAAATAGAACAAAACAAAGCAACAAAAACTATTACCACTAAATACAAAGGAAGAAGGAAAAATAAAAACAACTAAACAAAACCAAAACCAAACAACTTACTGAAAGAAGCTTCCATGCAATTGGACGAACCCGTTTGGGAATGCCAGACCAACTCAATTTCCGTAATTCTTCTATTAAAAGAGAAGTATTTCATGAGAACTAAGGAAATGACTATCAATTATTATACACAGATACATGTAAATTAGCGCAAAGTTGTTTACAGCAATGATCATGTCCTCATATAAAATCTAATGAAATCAGAATTATGTGGTAATTCTAATGAATTAATAAAATACTGAAAAATTACTACCTCTAGGGATACTATGATAGGTACTGAGTGTGATAAGTTAACTTTCTGAAGTGTTTCTCAACATTACTTTTCACTATACATGTCTTATATTAATATGCAAGACAACCTGAGTCTTATTGTATAATATGTTTACACAGATCCTAATTAAAAATGAGATTTACAGTTACAGAAATAGAATGATAATTGGTCTGAATGCTGGAATTTAATCCAATGCTATATTTTCATTCTTCATGTTGTACTCCTTTCTTTTGTCAGATACCAAACCAGCTAAACCTATCTGTGGGACTTTGCACAATTTTTGTGAGAACTTTTTACCACAGAAAATTCTGAGAAAATTCATATGTTTATAACAGAGTCCCTTAGAAACAGTATTTTTATGAGATGTCTACTTGTAGCTCTTTCTCCTCTTACTCCAAGGTGAAATTACAGGTTAATACTGCACAAGTTCAAATCACCAACATGCTAAGGAATACAGAACAAAATTCTACATTTTACCTTGTATATGCTTATTCCAATTAATTATATATTTGAATTAACTATGTATATTCCAGCAAATCTGGTCTCTATCACATGCCTATGTTTTCCAAATTCTACATTCCAACAAGACATTTAAAAGCATTTTGTCTATCTATTACCCCACGAAAACAAAGCACAGAAGAAAGTAATTAGAGTAAGAACGTCCTGAGTGAGTATGGTGACTAACTTTGGCCATTTATAAATGAATACTGCCTTTATTATTTCTCAAGACAAAGACTCTTATAGGCAATGTCCGTCATCATAATCTCACTCTCACCCTCCTTCTATTACTCCGAAAGTAATATGCATCTATAATACAAAGAAATGTAAAATATCATGTTAGGTGTGGTATGTTACCATAAAGCAAGTTATTTCTAGGGACATATACAACTATTTTTAACCAGGAATGAAAACACAATCCACTGAAACCAGTGCAGTATTTAAAATACATATAATATATTCCAAGACAAAAGAAACGGATTTTAAAAGTGTACCGAGGCTAAACAGTTAATAATAATAAAGTTAATTAACAATTCAGGTTTTTCAAAAAAGCAATAACTAAAGCAAACAAAAAGCTCCAGTAACTTGGATTTTGCAACATTAAGTTACCAAAATCCAAGCAAAAAAGCAACCAGATGCTGCACTCGGACCAAAACAGAGCAGAAACCCAGAACAGCAGAGGAAAAGAACAGATACTAAGAAAGAAGATGTTAAACGGTCATCACACTAGTGAATGCATCTACCACAAGTCTTGAATCTAGTCTAAAGAAAAAGGATTACTTTCTTATAACATCAATGAAACTGTTTGCTACCTCTAAGCTTTAAAATACTATTGTATTTGACATAAATAAGTTTCATTAATAGAAGCTTGTCTTCAACATTTCAAACCCTTGAAAAAGTCAACATTTACTGACACAGAGAAAAAAAAAAACCTAAGATGTTTTTGACTTGAAGTCATGTTTTGTTCTGTAGTTTTGTTTTTAAATGAACTCATTTATTTCTTGACTATACAAGAAGAAATACAAGGACATCAAGATGACACCTTGTTAAAGGGAGAGTAGATAAATAAGTCAAGGTTATTTTCCACTACAGGTTACATTTAGGCATGTATTTCTGTGCAAGTGTACCAAAACAGCAGAATACATAGCTATTTAGGAATATCATACTGAATATGACCAAAGATAAATTCAGTCATATACCTTGGGCAATCCAAAGACTAGAATACCAAATACCAAAGGAAAAAAGTACACCACCACATAAAATGTGAACAGAGTTGATTTCCAGCAAACAAATCATTCCCCAGCCTTGAATTTACTTGTACTTGAGGCTTATCCACATCTATGGCAACAGTAAGATTAAATATACTACACAGTTAATAACATAACTACACTTACTGTAACTGATTGCATTTTATTTTATTTACAGTCCATCCTTATCAAACATGCTGATCATTTACAGCAAGTATTCTTTGCCATTCTTCCCGTATTTCTTTAATAATCGTCATAGGCAGATTACTGCCTGGTCTTTAATCTGTAAAGTAAAACATACACTACCAAGCAGTAAACAAATTTAAGCTCATTTTACTGGTTCCAACTCCAAAACAGAAAATACAAGGTATTTGTGGTCAAGGAAATCCAAACTCAAGACTGAGTGCTATTTTAGGTTCAGAGAAGATACAGATATGGCAAGGCACTGACAACTAATTCCCCTTCTCTAAGCATAGAGGTACCTCAGAAGGAGCACTGACTAAAGTACATCAAAATGTAAGAACAATGACAAAGTTCAGTTTCTTACTGCATGACAACGTTAGCAAAATAAAATCTCCATCCCCTTTAACACTAATTTCCTAACCTCTACTTCCGACTTACATATCACTTCTGAGTACCATTTATCCATTCCACCCTCTTCTCAAGACTTCCTTTTTCCTTTATTTTCCTCCTTTTTGGTCCTCATCCCTATATATTTCAGTTTTATCTTTCCTCAAATCATCAAGTGAAATTCCACACCTGTCTTCATTGCTGGCCAGCAGAATTCACGGTATAGTTAAGAAAACCTTAAATTACTAATAAAGAAAGTGGTGCCATCATTAAAACAGAACTGTAGCTTTAAAAAAAAAAAATCTAAATAATTTCTTATGATATTTTTCAAAGGAACCTAGTTTTGTTCTTTATCCTGGAATAATCCCAGAAATTGATGCTCTCTTGCTTTCCTGCTTATACCAAACTGAAACAATAAATTTAACTGCAACTATTCACATCACAGATGTTTTAAATTAAACACATAAGAAAGTGCATTAGAAATGAAAAATATATAAAGTCCAAATATTCATGACCCATATATAAAGTCCAAATATTCATAAGTTAAAGCCTGTAAAAGAACTGTCAGAATAATAACATTCTATTCACTTTCACGGAGACTAGCTATTGTGGAGGATCAGTGTACCACCAAAGTACATTTAAATACAAGAATCATTAAAGACAAAATATATGCTTTGATACAATTATTCCTGATGTCATGCTCCCTACAGCTTGAGTTATTTTCCATTGTTAATTTAGAAACACCAGACTGCTGATAGGGCTTCTAAAAATGAAGTCCAGAGAGCAAATTCTGCAGGGATTTTCTTCATATGGTCTTCATTATTTTGTTTGCATTTGTAAACATGATCATTCTTTCACTATTTATTTATTTTTTAAAGATTTGTCCTACTTTAGGAAAGCATTTTATGAAACAAGTGGAAATCATATGTAACATTGCAGCAGTTTTCTCATTCTGTAATATAGAACTCGTGGTTTTAACCATCATCTTGAAAGTTATGGAACAGAGCTGTTATTTCTATTACTTCTCTCTGTATTGTAAAAATAAGAATTATTTTTTTTTGTCTCACTTGGCAACTCACTACAGAAATATATTATTCTTCCACAGCTTTTTTGAGATACTTCATACCCTTCACATGTATATAAAAATCAGGAAAAGCAGTTGTAATATATTAGAGTCTAAGCAGAACAGAAGCAACAGCAGCATATGCTTTCAAAACCTATTAAGAAACAGTACACGCACACTAAATATGCATGGATGGAGGAAACATAAAAGCATCCTTACAAGCATAACTGCAAGGAATTTGGTGGTATCCCAGTAAAATCCTCCCTTATTCTTCATCTCAAGGAGTTGATAGGCACTGGAAGAATACAGGATGACCAAAAGACAAGTAACATTAAAAATATGATACTGTTGGAGTGTGAACTGAAGTCTCAAAGAAACAATGAGAGCAGAACTTGTGCACACTATACACAGAGAGAGGGTGAAGTTTAAACTGAGCTACATATCAAAGGCTAGCACAAAAAAATATACTCCATTATGAGTATTCTGTCACTGCAAACACAAGGAATTAAATGGAAAAAAATGAACAAAAAACTCCTAAATTTCACTGATACTCAATAGCGGATGGCACCCAGGATTGTCTATTCGTAATAAAACCATAGGCTTGGGCACAGAGATGCATTAAGTACAGCAGCAAAAAGACTGGTGGCTCTGACAGCAGAAAACAAAAAGCAGTTATGAAGTCAAGAACTGTGGGATGTCATGAGCAATGGAAAAAAGGCACCAATGGATTCTGAAGAAAACCAAGAATGCACATGACAAAGAAAACCATGCTAACAGCTCTGCCATGACAAACAGCAATGTTGGAGTACAGAACATAGCTGGACAGGGACAGCCTTCATCAAAGAGTTTCAGAAAAGAGCAGATGGACACCACTGACGTGAAAAAATAAAAAATGATGGTTTTTATTTTTTTTTTTTCTTATATCAGGAGAAGGTGAAAAACAGCCTGCTACTTCAAACACAGCAAAAGTCTGAGTACAGTACTATTTGGAATGGGCTATTTGGCTCTCAGGGATTCACCCTCTACAATGACAGCTTTAAGGGACTAGGTTTTTAATGGGGAGAAGAGAGATGGTAAGCAGCAGAATTAATAACACAGCCTAATAGGAAAATTACTAGGTTACTGTGGTATTAAGTGATCATCTTTGGAAAATCTTCATATTTGGCCTTAAACAGACTTCTATCCAAGAAGTTCAAGCTAAATCAAAACCTCTGCATTCAAAAGAATGGAAACAGCCAGCTTCATAACAGCAGTTTGAGATCAAGGACAGTGCTGCAATTAAAAGGCATTTGTAAACTCATAAGTTCTACAGTTTTAGGTCATATCAACTTCAGCAATATTCCCAGAGCAAGCAGAAAATGGATCCACTAATCTGGTTTATACGCAATTCCAATTTTCTAGTCTACAAAAGCAGACAACACAATT